GGCCTACCTGCCCATCCTCGTACTCCAGATCTTCTTCCCACCACTTCCAAATGTCCTTCTGTTCCTCCTGGCGCGCCAATCGCTTACGAGCCTCAGACTTGGTCTCGCCATCCTGCAAATCTATTTCCCTCTTTACACTTTTGGTACGGGCCTCTTTCTTTACAGCGCCCGGTTTGCCCTTAGGTTTGGCTTTGCTTGCTGCCGGCTTCTGCTTACATAATGCGTGCGTGTGTGTTTTTCGAATGAACATAACTCCATAACTGTGACCGTAAGCTCTTGCTTGGTGTACGGTACTTAATCGCAGTGTGATCTCGGGAATATTTGTGAGGTTGACACTATATACTCTTACAGGACACTCAATCACATGTGAAAACAACATTAAGCAGACTTCGTAGGCAAACTAGCACATCAACACTTGGTCAAGGAGTCTTCTACTCCATGGAGACTCAGCTCGCATGCTGATGTATTCGTACTGCATGCAAATAAGCGTCGCATGCACTAGAAGGCAAGGAACTATCTAGGCATACATTATACGTTCACACTGCTGTAGAGGATTTTGGCGCCCTATGCTTGCTTAAATTTGTAAAATGACCTCCGAACATGTCGTAACTCGCATATTTTGGTAGCACGAAAACATTACACTATGAAACGATGAAAAAAGCATACGAGATCGCGCAGGTACACTAGTTTGCACAGTCACGTATACACGTATATTGAGATATCATCTATAGAGAATTGTATACCACCACGCAATAAAGATACACATACACACATCCATATACGACTCCATAAACATATCCGTACTCACATCCAGATCCACACGAGTATATACATGCGTGAGGGATATATATATATATATATATATATATATATATATATATTTATTTATCATATATATATAGTCGGGAGCCAATGAAGAGAGATAATATATATACTATAGCTACAAGTAAAACGACGTGTATATATATATACAATATATATATATATATATATATATATGCGTGTGTGTGTGTGTGTGTGTGTGTGTGCGTGTGTGTGTGTGTGTGTAAATGTATATGTATATATATATATATATATATATATATATATATATAATACATACATATATATATACATATATACATATATATATGTGTGTGTGTGTGTGTGTGTGTGTGTGTGTGTGTGTGTGTGTTTGTGTGTTTGTGTGTGCGTGCGTGTGCGCGTGTGTGTGTGTATGTATGTATATATATTGATGAGTATGCGTGTGTATGATATGAATATGGCACATTCACACTAGCACACGAGCGAGCTGCAACATACATGCTTACAGATAACAGATCACATCTATCAAAGAATAAATAAACACCAACAGCAACCTTGGCTGCCGGCTTCTTCTTCTTGACCATGTTCGCCAATGGTTCGTCATCGGAGTCGTCGGAATCTTTAACCAACGGCCTTTTGGGCTCCGCTTTAACCTTCGCCGCGGGTTTGGCTGTTTTACCAGAGGTCTCCGCCGGTGCCTTCTTACTTGTTGAATTCTTCTTAACAACTGCCTTAGGCTTCGCTTCCTTCTTCACGGCAGTTTTCTTCGGAGCCAAAGGAGCATCATCCGAATCATCTGAATCATCGTTATATTTTGGCCTTCTAGCCTGAGAAGCTCTGCGTGAACGTGCACCTATAGGTACAACATCCTCGAATGGAAGTTCCTCTACCTTTACCTTCTTAAACTGATGAGCATCCCCATTGGCAATGCGCTCTCGCTTGACACTGGTCATGTTGAAGTGCTGCAGAGAGTATGTGCTGTGCACAGCTACACTTTATACGCCGATAAATTGGTATTGGTCTGTAATGTGTGAAGGAAACAATGCAGTAGAGATGTAAGGATAGTTGCACGTGGGACATGACAAATAATAAATTATTGATCAGCGATACTGCCCGCGACAAGACGACTGTAGTTGGAAAGACTCTCGATCGTTATAGTGCCAGTACAGAAAAGGCTTCATATGATGGATTAACATCTCTGTTTCAAGCAGCCATATAATATACAAGTGATATAAGCAGCCATATAATATACAAGTGATATAAGCAGTCATGTATTATATTAGTGATATAAGATCTTACAGAGCTAGCTATGCAGCAGAACACAAATAGACGTAAATCGATGGCTCTTAAAAGCCTACTGCAGCATAGTCATACCCCTTGGTTTCCTATGCGTGCCTTAAACACAATCCACAGCGATGGCTGAGATGATAGACAGTAGGAAAGTTCCAGAGACGGGACCCCCTCCTCTCTCTCTAGAGGTATCAACAACGCGTACTCGTACAAAACAAACGAAAAATATCTAAGTATTGAGGGTCTGGAAACCCAACTGAAATAGACAGTCACATCACAGAGTTGAAAGTTCATAGTTGGCCGCAGCGGCTCAAAAAAATATGTATTGTGTGTATTCATGTCTGTTTGTTGAAATTTGATAATCCCAAACACTTGGACAATAACAGTTCGGTCCTACTGATCGAAGTGGATTTATTATGCCGGAAAATTCCGGGAATTTGTAGGTATAAATTTGCCCAGTTTTATACCCTTACTTTACTGCACTTATGCCCAATAGACCCCCGTTTTAACAATCACTATCGCAAAAATCTTCATATTTATCACAGAAATCTAATATGTACATAATTGAGCAACGAACAGTAAGGTGCTCCAATGTACACGTAAAGATTTTGAGAAGGTGACCATCTCGCTTATGGCGCCTGTATAATGACCAAGCACATCAGAAAGGTCATATCTCACAAGATGAAATCATAATATGATAAATAGCTGGCCTTGAGTGCTTAATTTGCTTTTGAATGAGTATCGATTTTCCCAAAGCATCTACCGATTGTATGTAATATTGTGTGTGTATGTATATATATATACATTTATATATATATATATATATTATATATATATATATATATCTATATNTATATCTATATATTATTTATTTATTAATTATTAATTATAATTAATATTAATTATATATATATATTATATATTAA